AACAAACAAACAAACAAACAAACAAACAATGAATGAATGAATGAAAGAAGTCATGTTTCATTCACTTGTAGTACGTAGTCTCCCAAGGTCATCCATCCATTCTTAAGAACCCGCTTTTTATCCAAACTGGACCAGGCCTGAATGTGTCATAACAATAGCCTAAAGAACAAAGGACAAGGGACTAGATTATTTTCCACTTAAAATCGATGTGTGCTGCAGATAGTGCAACGGATTTAGCTGTACGTACGGTTTGACCATGGGACCGGCTGGTTTATCCCCTAATGCCTTTGGGCTAAAACAGTTTCCCGCCCAATCATTTCACTAAGGGCGAATCGGCCATAAAATGTTGCCATTAGAACCAAAATCCATACGGCACCTCAGTTTCTTCGGATGTCTCAAGTATATAATACGGTGGAACCAAATTTTTTTGCCCAGTTGTTTTTCTTTATAGACGTGGGTCCGGATCCCATCGTTTGCCATGGATTTTTGTTTCCTTTTTTTATTTATTTTTCATCATATGAATCCTTAAGTAAAATACATAAGACTCGGTTTAGTGTTCTTTAAGTCTTGGATTGACAACTAGCATTTTCGCCTTGTAGCCAATTGTAAGCGATGTTAATGCATGGGTGCGACTGGTTTGTTGGATAAAGGTTATCCATGGAAGGAAACATGTTTCCAATTACGTGTAGACATAAAATATAATTATCAAATAAGAAGCTAACAAACAAAATACTAAAGTTATATAATTCCTGCCTTTGTTTGTCTCCCTCCCCTCCGTCTTCTTTCCTCCTTCTGGCTTCAAATACATAAATAATTATTATAAATTATAAATATATAACAAGATATTTTTAAAAAGGTAGGTCTTAGTGAAAGTCTTTGATCTATCAATTTTTTTTATGGCTAGACTTCAGAGGCCTGGCTAGAATTGCGTTTATATACATATATATTTCTATTTTCAATCTGTGAAAATCATACTATACAAACAACTGCCAAAAATCAAAACTCTTTGTTTCTGACTATTTTTTTTCTTGAAAAACCAAGATATTTCCGTCATCAATGTCTAAGTGTTGTTTGCTTATCGACTACCAATTTAAATCCTGTATTTGCTTTACTAAACTCAATGTACACATTCTATGTATTTATTTATGTGAGCGTTCAGGTTACAGCAAGTAAAGCTAAAAACGTGCACGCACGTACGCTGATATCTACTCAGACCCTTTGGCATGCAGTCACAGCTTATCTTGAGAGTAGCAAAATACATCTATCAGAAAGATACTTTCACTCACGGTCGGGAAGTAAGCCTTCAGGGTTGAAGATAGAAAGAAAGAAAGCTAGACGCGAAATGAATACAGTGTCGCATGCAAATTAGTTATTTTTTAGTGTGGTTCCTAGTCTTCTTAAAAATACGCGCGGTAAACATGCATCATAACGAGGCAACATAATTTTGTGTGAGTAGATTTCATCTTTAGAATTCGTTTAGAAGAAAACATGGTGAACCTCTTGTTATGATACACTTTTTGTAGGGCTTTCCCCCCCCCCCCCCCCCAGTTTTATGACGTTTCTATAAAAAGAAAACCATACATCTCCCTAGCACTTGGCCACAAGATAACGACTTGGGTGAAGTAGAAATTTCCAGTTCAGTGTAAAATCGAACCAGATCAAAGAAAGTCGCTTGAAAACAATCACTCGAGTCTAGACCATGCACCTACAACTTTGTTTGTTTCTTGACTCATTTAAAAAATGTTTTTCCTATTTATTAATTAATTTGGACGTATGTATTTCAAAGCTCTGACTTACTAAGTTGTCCAATTGTATTATCAGTAAAAAAAGGGCTTATACAATTTATCTATTTATACCTCCCTTTAGCTTACCTACGATGGATGCTATATCGATATGATTTGGAAATATAAGCAATCTAAAACGCTAATAAATGAGCACATAAAATCGTTCGGCTTGTGCATTAACGAAGCATCATTTCCTATAAGGGAATAGAGCTAAAACCTTAAATATGACATACGTGAAGACGGGCGGTTAAGTATATAACGATGTAAATCAAACCGCCCTTTGGCAAACTCGTGGATACTAGTTGCACTTTCCAGAAATTGGGTGCCCTGTGTCCTTATGCTTGTTGAAGGTTTCAAAGTATTTCGCTGATTATTACCGATTACTGATTATTTATTGAAGCAAATTCTCGTTAGTTGTCTCGAGCGACATCCATTGAGTCGCAGTAAACATACAAGAACATTGCTTCGGCTGTCTGTGATGTCCGACGATCAATCTACTTTTTACAGAACGGCTTATTTGGATGACAAAACTAGCCAAACTTTCTTCAAGACTCCATGACTCGTTTTGAAATCTAATGATAATAATTTTTTCGATGCATCCGGCTCTACCTACGAATCTTCTGAAAAAATCTAAATATGTTGACGAATGTACATAAGCGTTTCTATTTACTTTAACAAATCAGCAACTCATTGGACTCATTGGAATTTTGGTGTAGGCGTTAATCGTATTATTTTACTTCAACTTGCATCTTTCCTTGATTCTTTTGATAAACGTTTGATTATCGATCTGCTAACGCCTTACTCAGTGAGTGAGTGACACATCTGCATATTCAGACCCCTCGCAATAACTCGTTTCTACGCTTCGCGTAAAAATGAAAGATTGTGCTCATCTTAAATATGGCCGCCATTTTGTGGCAATAATCCTAAATTCGCATTTTGATTATAGATATCAATTTATGGCTGATTTGGCTATAAATAATTTTAACTGTCTTGGTTTTTTTTCCCTAAATACTTCATCTTCGCACAGTGACATAAAATATTACAACTCGCTTTAGAAACACTAACATTTATTAAAGAAGACGGCTAGAAAGACTAGGGTAAAAAATGGTACTTCGACAGTTCCTTTGAAAAGTCCAATGACGCATTCAGAAGAGAGAAAAAATAATGACTCCAGTCATTTGTTTTTAGTCGATAAATTAGGCCAAATTTCGTGAAGAATTTTGTGTCAAAAATAAGAAACAAAAAATGAAATTGACATAAACATCTGCTTGCCTTTGACGCAGGTATTTCATCACTATGTAACCAGCAAACCACCCAAAAATCTAGACTTTACGCTGCCGTCAGCCTTTTGAGAGACGTGAGCGTATATAAAACATTGCTGGATAATTGGAGGTACACATACATACGAAGCCAATAGCAGATATTATTGATGCATGCAAATGAGATGCAAATGAGACAACAAGCATTGTATCGACCCGATAGCCTCACTTGTATGATTTCTAAAACAAAAAATATCTCATTGCAGGCTCAACTGCAACTATAGCTATTGGAGGATTCAGTCTTGATCGTTCTTTTTTCTCCACTAAAAGGTAAATGTGTTTGATACAAACGAAGTAATTTTTCCTTTCTTTTTGGACTTCCTAAAGTAATTTTCATAAATCCCAATTGAAGGTAGGGCAAACGTACAAAATTCAATAAGTACAAGCATAAGAGAATGTTGTCTTGCTCTTACTCAGATATACGTACGTTTAAGCTTTTACAATATTTCATATATTTTTTTATCTTTTGTTTGTTTTTATTTTTTTATTTTTTAGACTAACTTTGTTAGATCGTGCAGGTTGGTAGAAAAAGGTCTCCTTGCACCTGCGTTTAGCAATTTAAAATAGCTATTGTTTTACTGAATTCTTACTTTACAAGTATATACTTCGAACTGCCCAAATAGAAGTTCACGTTAGAGTTTTGAGAATACAAAACCTTAATTTTTATTCTTTTATCGAATTCCCAACACATCTGCTCTCTTATCATCTGCCAATACCTAAAAATCCATACCTCTGTAAATGAAACATTAACTTTAAGATTATTCATAATATTAATAGCAATAGCATCAAAATAACATCTCATTACTCTGGTTGTTAGTTTACAAATATTAGCTTTTTGCGTGAAACACGATTGCTACGAGATATGGTTCGCATAAACAATGTATAATGCCTTCTAGTTCCGACGATTCGATATTTTTTCGGTATGATCTGGAAGGTTTCATCGGTTTCATGCATGGGTACCATGCATGGGTACATACATTCAAAATCCCTAAAACTTTGACGCATTTGGGATATAGATACAAATATATAAAAATATAATTTTGTTATAATTAATTTTCTGTAAAAAGTTATAACCAAACTTGTTGTTCTAGAATACTTAATGAGGTTTTTAGCATGTTCGAACGCCGACTTACCCTTAGTTTACTTTTTATAGTCAAATTAAAAATAGCACCCAAACATATATGTATATAAATATATTTTTTCAAATAATTGATATACCTACCTATATAAGTTACCAAGTTACTATGAACGAACCCCCAAAAAGTTATTAAATTAACATAATGATATTTGTTTGTCAGATATTATCTTACTCATTTGTTTCTTGAAGAGCAATCTGAAGCGGTCCCATTAAATCCCAACCTTCAGGCAATAAGGTTCGATGATGGTAGTCTATAAACGTACCTTTTTTGCCTCCATTTGCATACAAAAAGGGAGCCGATTCAATTTCAGTTTTTTATCTCTTTTTTAATGGCTTGTGTGGTCGTGTTTTGGTGCGTGTGATATTCTCTGCTGATTTCTAAGATTTCTTTTTGCTTTCATAAAGCAAAAAATATTCTAGATCATCCACTTGTTAATTTTTGGTTTCCTTTTCTTTTCTTTTCTTTCTTTCTTTCTTTTTTTTTTTTTTTTTTACTAAAATATCGTTCCGTCGACTGTTTTTATTTGTCGTTGTTGCTTTTGTTTTCTTTCTTTGTTCTTTTCTACCTTCCCCCTTCCTTTCAAACTAACTATTCTATTTTCTTTCATTTTTTTATTCCATGCTTTTTCTACCAATTTATTATTTCTGTTGATATTTTTGGTCTTTTTCCACGCCGTTATCGTTATCATTTGTTTCTGTTTGTTTTGTTTTGATCTTTTTCAGATGCGCGTCGATTATATCCAGATAATCAGCTTCGTTTTTTCCTTTCTTTCAACTATTTGTCTCCTTCTCACAAACATGAATGCTTAT